AACAATCCGACGCAGATGGGTTCGATTGCGATTGAGAATCGAATTTGATGAATTGTGTTTGTTCGACAAGACCTCCTTTGATCACTATCGTGTGCGTCTTCCTTTCTCACTTCGCTCTGTGACTTTGCTAACTCCTTTGCGGTCCTAGGGCCTTGCCAAACCTTTTGCTGCTGCGAAGTCCAAATCCCGTGCAGTCGCTGCGTCTCCATTCCCCGTCGTCGGCGGGCGTGGCTTTGGCGGCGGCGTGGGGCCTGGACTTGCGACGGCGGCGGCGATTCGGCGGCGAGAGACATTCTGATGATCGAAGGCAGGCAAATCAATCAATGGGGCCCGTGGGAGGCCCTCTGGAGCTCCTTAGGTCCTAAAGGGGGGGGGGCGCTCAACAGCGACGTGCGTTCCAACCGCGGGGGGCTCGCGAAAAGAAGGCGGGGGTCGCGACAGAAATCGCTTGCATGGGGCTGTTCCCAGAAAAACACCATAAGTGCGGGCCCCGGCAGAAATCCCCAGCAGGCGCCGCTGGGAGACAAAGAGACGAAAGTGTTCCTGACAGATTACTCGCAGCACGCACGCGAGCACGCGTCAATTGCATGCAGTCTAGTGGCGAGGGAGCAGGGGGGGGGGGGGGAGAGGAGGAGGAGAGGAGGAGAAGGAGAGCGTAAAATATTATCTCTTGGAAGAGGAGGAAGAGGAAAAGGGGGGGCAGGGGGGGGGGGGGGGGGAGAATGAGGAGAGGAGGAGAAGGATAGCGTAAAAAACTAACTCTTGGAGGAGGAGGAGGAGGAGGGTCCTGGCGGGGTTCGCCGCCTTTACAAATCCGGATATGGGAACTGCAATAGCATCGAACAAAAGAACCCTAGGGGGTTCTGTCAATGGGCAGCCCGTTTCCTTTATTTCCATATGCATAATCACTGCGCAACAAGCAACGCCACATCAATAAACGTCGTCGTCACTTGCCAGCGTCGACGCGCAGCAGCCTCGCTTGCCGCCTCGTTGGTCAGGGCGTAGTCTTGCGCCCTCAGGGCCTGAGGGGTTGTAGGGGCTAATGAGGCGTCAGAGAATGCGAGGCGTCAGAGAATGCGGAACCTTCCCAAGGCAACTTTCGACGTGTCGTCAGCCGTTGGTTCATAGCCGTTTTGGCTTCAAGCGCGTGCATCGCCTGCTGGCCCCTCGCCCAACAAGCCTTTGGTTCTCGTCTCACGAGCTGGGACATCATGCCGCCTGTTGCTTCGAAGGCGGTCGCTCCACGTGCGAAGCCCTCCGAATACTCCAGCATCCATGAACGATACCCAGACTTGCATGGCAATTTGCTCTTACAGAGAGTGATGGAAGTCTGGTCTGTGCAAAATGATCGCACTTTGGCTATCTACTGCGAAAGCAGGCAGCTCCTCTTCAGGCGCGAGGTCAATGATCGCATCCACTCTTGCGTCGAGGAAGCGTGCGTGAAATCTGTTGCCAAGAACGGTGCGATCCTTGGGGTGAGGGGGTCGCCGTGGGCAGTTCTCGCCGACGACGAACAGTGCAAATTGCTTTCGTATGCGACTCTCGCAGATGCGATCTACGAGGCCCACCGGCGTTGCCCAGAGAACCCTTACGTCCTCAACAATTCGCCAGGGCCTCCAGGGGGCGACTGTCTTTTCGCCTAAGACACCGACAGACGTATTGCACTATCTGGTCAACCTACACAATGAGTTCCACATGGGGGCGTCTAGATCTTTTGTTGAGGTATACAAAATGGTGCCAGACGTCGAATCCCGCTGGAAATCACATATGAAGGAGCAGGGGTTTACTGCTCGATCTTGCCCGACGACTGGAGAGCAGACGTACGAGAAGAGGTATTGGGCTTTTGTTACCTCCAGGTGGCCGAACACTTTCAAGACATACCTGCAATGGATTAATGTCAAATCCTCCTTTCGCGTGATGTGCAAGACTGGGATCTGGGACATGCGCCCCCTTCAAGAAATGGGGTGGGGCGGGGCAGCAAGGAGGGCCACGCGGGTAGAGGAGTTGAGAGGGGTCAGACGGGGGGGCCAGCGAGAGAAGGGAACGTTGTAGAAGGGTGAAGAGAATGGGATGGAGGGAACCGTCATCCTACCCCCCTGAGACCAGAGGTAACCTGAGGCCATGCTGGCAAACAAATCTACCTTACTTTTGCTCAAATGACAGACTCTCTCTTGAATGTTGTTTTTGTATTCGCGAATGAACAAAGGTAAGGTAGAGTTGTTTGCCAGAAGTTCTGCTTTGCAAACATGGGTACTGAGGGCTGGGGCTCGACCTGAGACAACGTAAGATGCGAGAGATGCGACTTAGACACCGCCTCTGTTCTCTCCCTTTCTCGTCGCTCCCTCGCCCTCCCGTCTTGAGGTGCAGGGGGGCCTGCGAGGAGATGTGCAACTTCTTGGAGCAGACCCTGAGCGCGGACACCGTCTTGTCAGTTGACAAAGAGGTGATGAATATGATGGTGAACAACTTCAGCGATGTTTTCACGAAGCAGGAGTTTCAGATGGCAGCGCTCGAGCTACTCAAGATGTCATTGCCCATCCCTGATGATGCTGATGATGGCGAAGAATACCCGTTCTGGCATCTCAAGGGCCCCTTGGCATCCAGCATGATCACGAACCTCCTGTGTCCGATGGGCGGTTCAGTGGTGTATCGAAGGACGCTTGCAGATCCCTTGCTGCTGCTGCTGCCTTCCCTCAGCTCCTCCCTCCTTCTCCGCTGCTCCACCGCGCATCCTTTCCTTCTCGTTCTTCTTCTCCCCTCCTCGCTCACCCTCCAGAGGATCGACTCTGCCAGCAGGCCCAGCGGCAGCGGCAGCGGCGGCAGGAACGGCTGCGGCAGGAGCGGCGGCAGAGGCAAGGGCAAGGGGAAGGGCAAGAAACCGAAGGCAAAGTCCGCGCCTGAGGAGGCCCGGGGTACAGAGGCAAGGGTGGCGAAGGAAGATGAGGGGATCTTGAGCGCCGGGGATCTGGATGATGTGAGGGGTGAGATCGCTGATGAGACTGGCGCGGCTGCTGGCGAGGCGGGCAGCCCCTCGGCCGCCTCGGTCTCGGGCTCGCGCCAGAAGGTCTTCTTGGACGACCTGGCAGCGTGCGTCGCGAGTACGCTCGTCGGGCCCACTCCTTCCCAGGTGCAATTGCCAGCCGTCGCGAAGGCTTGGAGGACTGGCATATCCTTCGCGTTGAAGGGGGTCATGAAAAAGAGCGATGGCGACACCGCCAATGCTTGGTCCCAGGCCAGGGTAGCGATCAAAAAGGACCTGCTCGAAGCCCACGGAACCGTCTCGCGAGAGAGGGGTGGCCAGGGCGAGGCCATTGATGAGATCGTTGCGACGCTCGATTCGAGCGCGGCCACCTCGAGCGAGCCGCCGTGGGTTACTAGCTTGAAGCTCTTCTCGCAGGACACAACTGCTATCGAATACTTGTCTAAGTATCCTCTTCCAGGGGGCTGATGGGGGAGGATCATAGAAAACATGGCAGCAGGGGGCAGGGGCTGGCAGAGGGGATATGCCCAGGATGAGGAAGGGAGGAGGAGGAGGTGGGGGAGGAGAAGGAGGAGAAGGAACTGAATGCCAGCTGTTCGGGCCCCTTGCTGGCGCTGCCATTGACGAGGGGCGGACAGAGAAGAGGGGGGGGGGGGGGGAGGAGGAGGAGGAGGAGGAGGAGGAGGGGAGGAGCAGGAGGAAGGGGGGGGGGAGAGGGGGGGGGCTGAGCGGGGCGTGGAGCGCAGGGGAGGAGGGGGAGAGGATGAACATCATAGGAGGAACCGCTCTGCTAGGTACATGGCCTCGTTCCCGCGCGGCCAGCCGCTCATGCTGGTGCCTGCGTGCAGCGAGCTGCTTTCCAATTGCTTCAAGGCTGTGCTTCCCCTCGGCCCCGTCGTCCTTCTCCTCCCCCCCCCCTCTCCCTTCCGTGCTCTCCTTCTCATCCCTTGTCGGCGCCAGGCGTGCAGCGAGATGTTCCAGCAGCCGGGCGCCGTCGCAGTCGTCTTGAACCACGTTGCGGATTGCCTCGGCCTCTCGCCCGTGGACAAGGTCGGAGCCGACGGACTCCGTTTTCAACTCTCGCCGAATCTGTCGTTCTTGATGTCGGACCCCGCCGCAGACACTACGCAGTGCTTGAACAATGTGTTCAAGCCGAAATCTGGAGATCTGGAGACTTTCATGACGAAGCGGGTGGAGGTGGTCCTTGCCGTGTTGATGGCGTTGGCTTGCGGTCCCCAGAAGGCGACCCACGCTGACTATATGGAGTCGATGCGGCCGCTGCAGCTCAGCACCATGAAGTTCGCGTCCATCGAGGCCCAGTGCAAGACTAAGGCTGAGTTTGTCGACCTGTGGGCTGGCGCCTTGAACGCCGCCAGCAAGGACGGCGATTTGAACGACTACTTGGCGAAGGCGTTGGCCAAGCTCCTTGCTGAGGCCAAGGAGCGCGAGGAGGCGAAGAAGAAGGCGGATGCCGAAGCAGCTTCTTCTGCTATCGCCAGGGCGTCAGGAGCGCCGATTCCGATGCAGCAAGACGAGGGCGCAGATGCAGGTGAACGCGCAGGCGCTGACCTTGTCACCGTCTCGAGCTATTACGAGAAGATGATGTTCGACGCTCAGACGGCTTTCAAGGCCATCAACGAATCTGCACCATGGACACAGTATGGCATGAGCACGGTGGCGCTCTTCCAGGCCGAGGTGGAGAACACGCTCAGGCGGGCTGCTCTTGCTGGCGGCCAGTGCCAGGAGACGGGGCACAACGTCTTGAAGTTCAAACAGTTCGCGACCGTCTCGGAGATGACTCCGTCGGCGCCAGGCCAGCTGCCTCCGACGACGATTGCAGCGTTCGCCGTTTGCCATCCTGCCTTAGCTGGGCTGAAGGCCTCTAGAGGCCGAACATCATCCCTGGGGTCTGCGGCCCCCTGCTCAAGACCTTGGCGGATTTTGTTGGGCCGGGGGCAAGTGGGTGGCGGAAGCAAGCGGCGAACGTTCTCCAGTCGTCAGATGCGGCCCCATGAGAAAGGCAACCGACTGGTGCTGCTGAACTTCGTCGGGAATGTCGCGCTGCTCCCCAGGGCGAACTCGTTCCACGTCGTGAATGCTTTTGGAGTCGATTTCTGGATGTCGCCGCCCGTGTCCAAGAAGGATTCTCTGAACGGGGGGTCGTGCGTCTTCCCAGGGTGGTTTGTGCCGACAATTGACAACGATGAGAATCCCGTGCCGACCTGCGAGCTCAGGCACCGCGAGATCGACGTGGACTTCAAGCCGCCGACGGGGGGCCCTGTGCAGAACTACAAGTTGAAGTTGTACTACTTGTACTTCCCCGCGGGCTTTGCGCAGAAGCATGGCACCTGCGCCAGCGACGGGGACGAGGCCGATGCGCTCGTCAAGCTCGTTGCACCGAGGCTGGTTGCACCCGCCCCCGATCGGCCCGATGGCGCCGTGGTCAGCCGGGGCGCCGCCGCGGTCGAGCTCGATTGGTTTGAGGCTGCCCAGCAGGCGGCGTCGGCAGCCGCCCATTTCTCCAACCAGCGCAAGAGGCCAGCTGCGCAGCGCGGCGACGAGGACGAGAAGAAGGGGCTGAAGCAGTGGAAGAAGAAT